CATTTTAATTAGTTCTTACTCATCTTTCTTCGTTTCTCATATACCGTATACTGACTTAAAACAAACAGGTTTTCCCTAAAATCTGTTTTGGTTGACATCATTGTAGTAACAACATTTTACCAACTTGTACTGCCAAAATAAAAACTGAAATAGGCATAGATCATGAATTATCAAGAATCTACTCTATATCTGTTCACTTCCATATCCACAAAATATAAATAATGTTTAATTAGTGTAAAAATCAAGATATAAGCAAATACGATCCAATGTTGTCTGTTCTTTAATATAAAATTTTAAATCGAAAAAGTATGGTATTCGGTAACGAATCGAGAGAGATAGAAAAGAATTATTCGCATTATTTTCCCTTTTACCCGTCCAAAATGTTCAAGTTTGTAAATATCAACGGCAGACACTTTCCAAGCTGCCAATTTCTTTTCAGACAATGCCGGGATAAAGATTCATTTTTGCGTGACCGATTGTTTTGCAGATAATTACCTCTCGATCAATTCGAAATATTCACAGCCAGTCACCTATCTAAATTTCCGTTTCATCTCGAAACGTCGGGCTAGACATTTTTTGAATGTCAGACGTTTCGTCAAATTAGGTGAAAGGAATTTAAAATTTGGAGTGGCACGAGTTTGCTTTAATTGATTTAGTATCTGCATGGTCAGATTCATAATGATGAAAATTTTTGGTGGTTGGTGCCTCGCTTAGTAAATATCAACGAAACTTTATCAAGGAAACAAATTGTTTACTTTTATAAATTGTAATAAATACATTTTAAATTTTTTTCCATATAATATAATCATTCTATGCGATTTTCGATGCTCCTCTGTTGAGGAAAGTAATTCTCCATCTTAGCCTATACTGTAATAATTTGCATCTCGATGAGCATTTTTTGATCGATCGATCGGATTAGGACGGATGTACATTGCATCTTCATCGCATGTCACCAAAATTTGTGGACGCGAAATGATCAGTATCATGTCCTATGGAGTTGTGATACTGATTTGATACGTCCTCTTCCATATTGTATCTCGTATGTGTCGATTTCTCCCGATCATCGAAGTCAAGGCACAGTAACTCGGCTATATCGGCAAGTAATTTTTATTTTTCACCTATAAGTGGAAATTGTAAAAATCTTTTAGAATTCTCTTTCCACAATATTTGTGAAGTAGCAAGATACGCAAACAAGATGCAATATCAGCAAATTTTAGAGGATATGTATAACACTGTCCATAAATTTATTGTCAGCAGAGAACGGCGCCTATTTTTTGTGGTGTGTGGTTTGTGAAAAATATCGATCGTGTTTAAATGTCAATGTGCAAAGCCGGTGTTTTGCAGAGAAGCAATAATAAACTAACCAAAACATATAATTTTAATTGGGTCTACTCCAGAGGAGGATAACTGGGATAAGAATAGGCATTTACGAGGCATTCCAGGATTGACAAGATTAATTAATTGTCTTACTCAAATATTAGCAAACCATTTCTATTCGACTGTTACTTGACTTGGCTTCGGATACAAGTTGCAGTAGTAGGCGTGGACACTTTAACATTCTAAGCTCATTCGAACTCATCAGGTTATTTAGGGTAAATAAATATTGTTTATTAGAAAACGTAAATTTATTAACAATAATGCTGTTGTTATTATGTAAATTATCTATATTATTCAATTTAGTTTTCTTGATGTAGAAATTTTTAATTCTATTGTTATATATTGTATAAATGTTTTAAAATATTATTATAATATTTGACCAACATTTTCCTAATACGCTTACTGCCGAAGATCATTCTCATCTCTACGAAAATATTATAGCCACCTGAGGCATATCAATTTTTACAGTAGGAGGGCCACTATGTTATCTAATATTTATATGGTCATACTCCATGAATGTGAATAAAAATAACATATATTTTCCAAGTATGTTGGACTACTTTTTAAGTAACTAGATGCAAACACTATAGTTTTTTGAAAGTACCTAAAACAAGATGAACCACAATATCATTTCGTTATACAAGCTCCTTCTCTGCGCCTTCTTGGTGGTTATGTGGATTCATACGCTCAGCCCGAACAGAGTAAGAGGGTTCGTGGGCGAGGCTAGCACTCTCCCCAGTGTAAAAAGGCATCAATGCTCAAATTACTTCAAGTAAAGTCTCGGACAACGGATTGAAATTTGGAAATAATCTAGCGAGGAAACGGACAAAACGATTATAGTCACACTGGTTTGACGAATCGAAAGCTGGGATAAAACATTTTGGAATATGAGATATCGGAGGTCATCATGGAATCAATGATAATGAAGAAATGTTTATTGCTGTATGCGCACAAAACTAACTACGGATTAAGGGTTTCTGGTTGTATTTCTATAGACGAGATGTTAATTCGCATTTGATTGGTAGACCTGAAAAAGCAAGAATAGCTGACGTTATAGAAATACTGCCGCAAAATTTCATTCTAGAAGATTATATACAGGCAATAGAACAACTTAACAAAAACAATAAAACTAAAATGAAAACGTGATGGAGGATACAGAATGGAAGAGAAGGCATTGAAAAAAATTATGTGGACGTTCTGACGACTGGCAAAGAATGATATTTAATAAACGCGAACTAACAGTAACAAGATTCAATATGCAGATATCTATAGGAAAGGCAGAGTCCTAGGTAATGCAAGAGAATCCATTAAGAAGTAAACTTGCAGCGCACAACAAAGTTTGAAATGTTTCTATTTGGCAAGGGAAATAACAACACACAGAGACTAATCAGAGTCTACCGGAGAGGTGAATTTTAGAAGAACAAATACGTGACCACTGAGAGCAAGGTCTATAGGACAGAGCTGAGACCAGTGCTTTAGAGATGAGGATAGAATCGCCGAAAACAAAGGACAACAGAGATGAAAGTGTTAAGAAATGTTCAAGGGCTAAGACTGAGAGATAAGGGATAAGAAGTGAGACCATACGGGAAGAACTCCATTTGCAGGATGTGGTACAGTTGGGACGATTCTGGAAAAGTTATATAGATAGATTGGACAAGAACAGATGTGCAAAATGGATAAAAGACAATAAACCCAATAAAAAAAGACCTCCTAGTAGACCTTTTAAAATATGAAATGAACCCCTCACAGTAAAGACCGAACGCCTGCAAAAAAACCAGACCATGTCTTACGAATAAGACAAAGAGGGGCCCTACTATGGTCAAAACTGATACGCCGCAGGCGACATTGATATTTTGTAAAGAGTACAATGGTTTTTACGTGTACAGCCTCTACATTTTATCTACTAAGCTGCACTTAGCGCCATTCTCTTTCTAAATAGTGATTTCCACATACCTAAGTCGTTTTTACAGAACGTTTGACGCGATCTAGGCATATTTTGAAAAAATACTGCCATAAAAATGCCTCATTTATACTTATGGACGATCTGTCAGCGGCCATGTTGGTTGTTGAATGCCGAAATTTAAAATCTCGCAGATGCACACGTTGACCGGACCTTTTTTATTTTTTTGTGCATACCATGTTCCTATATTATGAGCATAGGCAGGTCCTCTATATCTCTAGTACCTATATGGATTTAACCGATCCACGAAACACACTAAAATTGAATAGTTGCACGCACCCAGTTTCTAACTGCACCAAGCTATCGAGAAGAAATAAAATCCACTGAGGGCGAATTCCGCTTCTCAATAGCAGCAGGAGCGGTGCGGAAAGGAGTGAGTCAACTTATAAATAGTCCTGTAAAACTTGATTAGTTAATATCGCCGCGTTGTCTGACATCTTCCAGCTAGTGACACGATGGGATCAATATAAGCAGCCATGCCCATAGGTGCTGGAATGATTCTATTCATGATGTGGACCCCGCATTAAGATTCATCACCCCCTGATAGTTGAATTATTCGCGGCGTTGCCAAATTGCATTCACGAATATTATTTTATTGATTTTAGAATTTTAAATGACCAGAAATCATCGAGGCTTATTTTTTTGTACTGAACCACCCTGTATATTGTTTTTTTTATTTTAATTAAGAACATATGGATTGTTCAATAACGTAGTAAAAAAACAATATGTAAATTTACTTTTTTCAATAAGTTACTCAATTACAGTTTTAAATTGGTAGTAGTAAGTTGCTAGAACTAATGTGTTGAAAACAGCAAAGCAATATCAAAAAAAAAATTAGATATACATAACAAGATTCGACTCTTAACGCGATCAATTTAGTGTTCCAAAATCTTCAAAAAGACTTATGATAATGTAAAAAGAAGTATAAACAAAATACAAATATGTGAAGATATGGCATTAAAAAAAAAAAGAAAAATCAAAATGATTTTTAACATTGAAGTTAACTTAAATAGCACTCAGTATTAAACTTGTGGGATAAATAACGATATGTATAAAGCGTAAAACTCAACAAAATGATCATTGAAGATTTTGAACTTTATACAAAAATCCGCGAAGGTTTTCCAATCAAAAGTGGACAACAGATTCGCCATAGCCTACTTCCCACTAGCAAACTATTAAAAATTTTAAGTTTAGAAATTACTTTTTCCACTCCCTTCTGTAAAAAACCTAATCTAGCGTGCGGAAAGTGTCATTTTTAACACGTCAATTTCATTGTCCCACGGGTTTGAGAGCAATCGCAATTCGTGTTGTTTTTGCAAAAATGCCCCCAAAAAGTAACGGTCAAAAAAAAGTATAGAATGCAACACGCGTAGTAGGCTTCTTAAGTCACTCGTTTATGACTCGAGTTCCGTTTACCAATATAATATACTATTTTTTATATGCAATTGGTATTTTATAATTGTCAGTCTTGACCACCTTCCCATTATCATTTCAAACGTATAATAAAATGTTAGCCACTGAATATGTGAAATTAAAACCCAGTTTCGTCATATTCGTTTTTTGAAAATTTCCGTAACCTCGTGACTCCGGCAACAGTGGCAACCACCGCCCGCCGTCTCCGGGCAACCGCCTTGGGTCGTAAACAGATCGCCGCGACGCCACCGACGTCCGGCGAAACAAGTGAGCGCTGCGTTTTCGCAACTTTGGTCGCCGCCCGCGATCAGCTGTCGCACTTGTCGTGCAGAGTTGATTTGATTAATTTAGTTCTCGGACAACGATCGTCAAACGCGACGGTGTCGACGGTTTCCTTTTTTCATCGCTCGATTTCTTTCTCGTATTGCCATGAAATTATTAACGATTTCGTCTGGTAGTTAATTGAAGAAAGGGTTGTTAACGCGAAAGAAATTATGTTGTTTTTGTGAGTGATGCCCGCTGCCTTTCGTCACGATGAACACCGTTAAAGGATTAGGGGATGTTCCGCAGGACGAATACGCCAGGAGTAGAATGCTGGAAGGTAAAATAACAATCGTCAATCGATTAATTTAGTCCGGAGGGGTTCTGCTGCAGCGCATGCAATTTTTTGCCAGACGGGGATAGCGACGTTCTGGCAGGCGGATTTTAAAGCAAAATTCGAGGGAAAATCAATATCTTCTGCTACCAGCATAAAGGGAAGGATACAGCGTTGCCGCAGCTGGCGATATTTTGAAATCAAATTTTATTGATATTCCGTCAGGAAATATGAATAAAATGAAAGTAATTTTGGTACCTATCACGCCAATCATCAATTATTGGCATGAAAGGAATAAATCATGTATCTACTCATACTTATAACCAGCCACGGTGTTCCTGTTAGTGACACAGAAACAAAACCAAAATATACGTATTCAACTTTCAATTTATGTTTATCGTTCGTTAAAATCTTTAATTTTTCCAGGTTCAAACTTTAATTAGATAACGTGTTTGTCCGCAGTTATACGTCAAATCGACTTTCTATATATTTGATAGAAAAGCAACAAAACCGATTTAATGGGCCAATTTGATCGAATATTAATATTTGTCGAGTATTGAGTTAAATCATTGTTGACATAATGCCGCGCAAAAACGCGAACCTGAAAATCATATATCTGGATTAAAGTGTCGCAACAGGGGTCGCCAGATTTCCTGGTCGAGCATTTAATTACCCTTGTTCAGTGATTGGAACCGATTGCGGCTGTCGCTCACTAAAATAAAACTTTTTGTGGGTGAATTCAATATTAAGATTTCGAATCCGTGTAATTCAGTAAAAACAATTACAACAACGTGACAACACTGCTAGCACCCGATTTGTGATGTGGTTCATCGTGCCAACATGCACCGGATATCACACCAGACGCTGTTTTGAATCATCCTCCCATCCACGTTCCTATTGAACGGGTGCACAGGATGGCTCAAGTTGGACACTTTTAAAGGGAAACAAACTCTTCTTTCGAAAGGAGAAAGGCGAAAATTTAAGTAGAGGTGGAGGACTCAATTTGTGTATAAACATAATATTATTTGTTACTATTTGTTACATGGATTTGTGTTAACGTTTCAGAATGTTTTTCGAAAACGTACAGTCTGGTTTGTTTTGTTGATTATTAGAGGGTATGAGATAAAAGGAAAGATACACGAACAAACTGAGATATTAAATCTACTCTATTTTTTTAAATCTTTTATTTAATGGCGGTATTAAGTCTTCGCAAACTAGGTTGAGATAGAAGATACAAACCATTGCAGTTTTTATTATCTCTGATCACTCGGTGTCCCATTTAAGAACCGAACACTCTTGTAAAATCTTTGTTTATGGTTCGATGTTGATAAAACAAAATTTGTTGGATAGTTCTCTGAAAAATGCACCAAAACTTTGTTTTGCTTATTGCTTCAACTTAAAGTCATGGCCAACTGAGACTATTTAACAAAAGAGAGAGAAGAGAGTAGTGCTATTCGAGACTTTTTAAAAATAAATTGGCAACGAATTCTTATTCAGATGTGATTGGAACCCAACTATGCCAATTTTTATAACGTTTCAATACAGGGTGTTTGAAATATCGTTTCGCTTAAGATAGATCTCTCAAAAACGCATTAAAACATTATTACTTCAACCTGAAGTCATGGCTAACTGGGACTAATTTTTTATGCCAAACATTGACATAGGCTATTACAAATTTCTTTAAGAAAAAAAAAGTGTCGAATTCTTATTCAGGACTATATAAAACCTAACTATACTAATTTCCGTAAAGTTCTATTACAGGGTGCTCGAAATAGCGCGGGCGTTAGCTTAAGAATTATTCCTGTAGAATGTTCGTTTATGGTTCAATTTTGACAATCCTTTTTGGTTGGATAGATTTCACTGAAAGACACTAATGATTTTCTTAAAATTAAATATCTATGATTAGAGAGGATTGGATATGAATGAATCTGTATTTTTTTTAATTAAAAAGGATTTTTAATTCTCATCTAAAAACAACATCAAAATTGGTCGAAGTCGGTATACTGTTTCCTTTGTAAAACCAAGTTTACCGTGGAGAACTGAATATTCGACAGTCAAATTCACTCGCTAATTTATATTTTAATATTGTTTACATTATATACTAACACTAGAACACTAACATAACTTTTTTGAAAAAATGTCCAAAAGTACTTCTCGATTTTCTGCTTCCGCTGTGTTGTGTTAATTAGCCATGACTTTACTCCATGCTAGACGAAAAAACCGTTTCATTTCTCTTTAGTAAGATCTGCCCGGCAAAACAGAATGATCAAAATCGAACCATGAACAAAGATTTTGACAGTGTGTACAGTGCTTAAGTGCGACACACTGTATATGGAGATTAAAACCTTGCGCTGTATCTGAGCTTTTAAACAAAATGCATTTTTGTTTTTCCTTGGGATTACAATATAATATAACACTCAATATTTTGCTTTTTACTAAACATCTAACGGAGTGGAAAATGATTTTTTATTGGTCATGAATATATATGAAAATTAATGAATAAAATTAAATTCTCATTGAATTGAGTATTAGTTTTCTTATTCTCTTTTCGAAGTAAAACGTGTTGAGTGCTATATCGAGAGTAATACAAATAACGATTCAGCTTTACATTTATATTTTGAGCGGAATGAGGACAGCGAAAAAATTACATTTCAAAGGGTGCGTCATAATTTAAATAAATATGGATTAGCATTATGAATCATTTGGTAAAAATTACAGCAAAGAAGAGAAAGGGATAAAATAGATACGGAAAATAAAATATACAAAATTCGAAAAAATAATGTAGAAGAACTTAGAGCAGAGTCAAAAAATGCTTAGAGCAATTGTACTTAAAAAAGGAATAATAATTAAATCGGTGGCCAACTAAAAAAAAAATATTTCTGTTCTGTATTATATATTATTAAAACCGCACGAAAAAGATCAATTTTTTGATATACTGTGATACAAAGTGTCCCATAAAGAAAATGTTAGTTTTGATGTTATCGAGAAAACTAAAAGATCCATATATATCTATTTTTAATTACGCCACGATATTCTACGAAAAAAGGCACAAATCTATTGAATTTAATTTTTTTTGTCTCCATAAATACCCGCCTGATAAGAGAAAATAAATAAATAAAACTGAACTGAGAAGTGTCCTGCACTCTCCCACCCAGTGTAGTTAGTAGTTAGGTCTGATACCGTCGTTATATAAAATACTTGAAAAGAGAACAGGGCGCGTCCAGTAATCTTATCATTTGGTCTATACCCTTTGATACTATTAATTAATACGGATTATTCAAACGTGACGCCGAAATTAACAAAGCCACAACGCTATATACGTCGATTTATATTTGCGCGTCCCATGTTCTTTTTTAGAAACTGACTGACTAGCGAGCGCGGCCCTACGCCTTTATAGGAAGCTGCGCCATCTCGCGATAGGGATAGAACATCAAAGATTACGAGGTTTCGTTTTTGGTCAGTATATGTGAATCATTCTGTATAATCTCTTAGTTGGGTGAGAATTGGATTAAAAAGTTCTTTCGTTTTTACGCATTTGTCGGATTTATGCTTTTTTGGTACAGAGAAAACGAATAATTCTTTCTAACCATGTCTATAGATTTAACTTATACCAAATCCCATAATAACCCTGAACAGGTATAGTCAAATAGGTTTCAAAATTTGAAAACCTTTTTGTATCAAAAGTGTACTTCTTTTAGGTATTCCATTCCGTTTAAAAAAAAAACCTGAACAGTGCTGCAAGATTTATCATGGGGATGCAATGAGCGCGAAATGGAATATAAAATTTTATTTCTAAAGCTGCTTCTTAAATTTTTCTGTTACTGTAAAATTTTTTTAATGCAGATATCTAACTTATTAATATATACGTTCCGAGAAACGGAACACTTTTCCATTGTTCTTGTCTTTACTCTGCTTAACGGAGCTCATTAGCCAATGGTGTAACAGATTATTAATGAATATAATATAATATGATTAATAAAAAATGGACGTTGCACGGTTAAAAATATCTAAAGACGAAAATCATCATCAATGAACGAAACGAGATTCCCATAGGAAACATAAAACTTGATTTGTTTGATTTACATTTTTATGCACTGTATTGATAGCGAAATTCGCACCAACGCCACTGGTTCAATGTCACATAATAACCATAAAAAAGTTGTCGAAAATAATACGCGTACGATGCAGTAACAAACTGTCGGTCGTTTAATTATTTAGCTTTTAATTATATGATTAACACAGCAATTTGGTTGTTCAGAAAACGTTAGTTAGAGGAAGGTATGGATTATATACAATCTTTCGATGAACTGTATTCGACCGAAGTTTGGGAACTTGATCTAGGTGGGTGAGTGTTATTGTTCAGATGATTTTGTTTAAATTTACCCAAAGAATATAATAAATCGTGAAAATCCTACATACAGCAGATTCGTAGCAGAGTAAGAGTGACCAAAACTACTTCTTAACACAAGTACCCAACGACACAATTAACAATATCATCTTGTGTATCCCTATCCCAAATAAATAAATCAATAACTCATAATATACCAAAATGTTTAAATTTATTTTGAAATTATAATTGGTTCTGGTAAACAAAAATTGGTTTTGGTATTTTTTTTTTATTTGTCAAAAACAATGTCGTCCAAGAACGACGATAAATGACTCAAAATTAAAAAAAAGTACTTAAAAACAAAATAAATTTGAAATGCTTAGTTATAAGGCAGGAATGGTCCGTACTAATAATATCGCAATAACTTGATTCAAATGTCGAGGTACCCGAATTTCAACCACTTTTTACTATAAATCTAAATAATACTGTTTTCAAAAAGCGCAGCAATTTACAACCGCTGGATAAAACTCCCCCTAGTTTATTTGTTTCAAACGAAGTAGTTCAACAAACAGTTTTTTCCGAAAAAATTTTGTGTTTTCTCACTGCAGATGCATCCTTTCTAAATTATTTTTACCCCTATCACAAAGGACTTTGATATACTTTTAATTACATCTAAATG